AACAACAACAACAACAATAATAATAATAATAGGAATAATAATAATACTAGTAGTAGTACTAATAATAATAGTAATAATAATAATAATAATAATAATAATAATAATAATAATAATAATAATAATAATAACAATAATAATCCATATAATAATAAAAGAATAAAAGAGTGCTCAAACCATTTTAGATTTCTTTATTGAATTCTATCTCAAATGAGTGCGAGAGATAAAATACACAGGCCCGGTCCTGACATTTTATGGGCCCGGGACAATACAAATAGACTGGGCCTCGGGGATAGCGCGCGAAAATCTATAATTTAAAATTATACAATTTAACGTCAAAATACGAGTATAACACATAAAAAAAACTAACAAAGCATATGGTTAGAAAATATATAAAGAGCGTATTGATAAGTGACATTCGAGGATACAATGTACCTAACAACCGAATGAAACAAGTAGTGCAACTATTAGGCGCAATAAAAAATTTGAATCAAGGGAATTTGTGAAAGTTATATTTTGTATGAGTAACTTTGTCATATTTTAAATCACATTTTTACTAGACAAAACAAATTCTAAGTTTCTAAATTATGGACACTAAAGTTCAATCTTTCACTAAATGAGAGAATCAGAAGAAATTTGTGAAATATATAAATGGATATACATAAGACATGTACACTAAAAGATTAAAATTAATGTAATAATGCTTAATGATTCAAAAGAAATGGTGAAACATGTTCCCAATGAATTCTAATGTGTAAGTTTCAATATTATAGACTTGTATCGTGTACATGGTAAATAACAAATTAGAAGTATCTAAAAATATAAGTTTGATTTTATTTTTTATTTTTTATAAAATATAATTGATATATATTTAAAATATTTATGTACATACATACACACATATTTGAAAGTTTTATGGGCCCTACTGGAGCAAAGGGCCCTGGGCGCATGCCCCTCCTGCCCATGCCCCAGGACCGGCCCTGAAAATACAAGTTCTCATTTAAGGGCACCAACAAAAAAGAAACAAAAAACACCGACACTATTATTTCCTTTACCTTAAATTGTTCTCCAACTTCCTTTATTAAGTCTTTCAAACTTCCTAAATAGATTTCAACCCACAAAAAAGTCTAAATTGGTGTCAGCTTCAAGCTAGTTTTCTTCCGGAAACCAAATTGACTAATTGAGAAGGAAGTAACCTGCTGTAAATTTAGTGCTTCCTTCGTTCTTTAATTCTTGCAACATTTTATTTTTTGCACTATTCACAGATCTTACTTTGACCACGATTTTTTACTAATATACATAATCAAATTATTACGTAAAAAATGTTATTGAATTCCTATCAATGTGAATTTCCAAAATATCAACTTTTTATAATGTTTACTAATACGCAATTAAATATAATTACAGTCAAAGTTGTGCATTGACAAACATGAAAATCAAATTATTGCAAGAATTAAAGAAGGGGATAGTACTTCCTATGTAACCCATAATTAAATTAAAAAAATATTTAGCATCTTTTTATTCTGAATAATTTAATATCCAACTCATTCTGCAGTCTGCACCTGATTCTCGATGAACTGCTAAGAGAAAACAATTCAATGACTAAATTTTCTGAACTCTGACCCCTTGGAGTATGAATGCTTCAATAAATTGCTTTTCCCTGTTCTTCCTCCTGCACTTCTCGCTTCTCTTTCCATGCGCAACAACCGACAGCATAACCTTAACCCTCTCTGTCCGAGATGGAGATGAAGAGAGCAGCATCGTTTCTTCTAATGGAACCTTCGAGCTCGGATTCTTCAGTGCAAGTATTTCGTCTGAGAACCGATACGTTGGCATATGGTACAAGGGCATATCTCCTAGAACAGTTGTGTGGGTTGCGAACCGGCAAACCCCGCTGAACAGTAAATCAGGTGTCTTGAAATTGATCAAATCCGGGTCCCTTGTTCTTCTGGATGGAGCTAGTAATAGAACTATCTGGTCAACTAATACCTCAAGATCTGTGCAGAATCTCACTGCTCAGCTTTTGGATTCTGGAAATCTTGTCCTTAAATATGCTGGTGATGGCGGCAATGGAGAGGAGAATGTTCTGTGGCAGAGCTTTGATAACCCAACTGATACATTCTTACCAGGAATGAACATTGGTTGGAACTTGGTCACTGGGCGTGACATCTATCTCACGTCATGGAAAAGCAGTGAAGATCCAGCTACAGGGGAATATATCTATTTCATGAGTCACAATGGTTATCCGCAGAATTTCCTGAAAAGAGGCTCACATGTGATATATAGATCAGGGCCATGGAATGGGTTACATTTCAGTGGGTCATCAAACTCAAGACAGAGTCCATTCTATGAAATTGGATTTGTTTATAACGGAAGTCAAGCATACTTCACTAATAGGCTTCTGGGATCTGTCATAACAAGGGCAACTTTGAATCGGAATGGAGTTCTAGAACGCACAACATGGGTTCCTCGGATTCGGAGTTGGACCATTTACCTCAATGTACCTACAGACATATGTGATACTTATAAGCTATGTGGTGCTTATGGCCAATGCAACATTCAGAGCTCTCCTCTGTGTGAGTGTCTTGACAGGTTTGTGCCGAAGAATCCAACAGCATGGCTTGCTGCAGATTGGTCAAGTGGTTGTGTGAGGAAGACACACTTGACTTGCAATGCAGGAGAAGGGTTTATGAAGTATTCTAATATCAAATTGCCAGACACGCAGAGTGTTTGGTTCAACAGGACCATGACACTCCAAGAGTGCAATGCACACTGCTTGAAAAACTGCTCTTGCATGGCATACTCAAATATTGAAGTACAGAATGGAGGAGTGGGGTGCTTCATGTGGTTTGGTGATCTGCTAGACATTAGATTAGCAAAAGTAGGGCAAGATATTTATATCAAGCTTGCAGCTCCAGAGTTAGGTAAGATATTTACTTCATACATTTCGATCAACTGTACGTCCATTCTCTATAAACACATGCACAACCGGTAATTGCTACTCCATCCTAAATTATTTGTCATTTTAGGAAGTCAATGCACATTGTGTATTGATCTCCAAAGTTTGCCCTTATTAACTTGGCCTGGATTAGATGCATAAAGCTTATTGTGATGAAAATGCCATTCTGTAATATTCCATAGTATGTGTGAACTTGTTAAAAACATCAACTAAATTAGGATGAAGGGAGTATAAAATTTGAGAACAAGCAACACAAGTGTGTGTAGTGTTGCCCAATGATTCATGAAACTACTGTTTAAAGCTGCTTGTATGTTAGCTTGATGATGCTATATAAGTATATAACATAACCCTACAAATTATGAATGCTAAAATATTATAAAACTTATTGTCAAGATAATACCTTTGAATTGCATATCAATACTTAAGTAGCATGATGTGGGATGGTGTTGACCTAATGATGTGAACCCTGGTTTACGGTGAGACTTGGAGATAAAATAATCCCATATTCATCTCTTGCATTGACCTTTGCAGTATCTGGAGTCAAATCTAGTGGAAAAAAGCGGAAGATCATTGTTACTCTGTTTCCAGTGGCTGGAGTGTTTTTGCTGACTGCGTTTCTTGTGGTATATTATCTAAGACCGAAGAAATGTTTAGGGCTCAAACGTAAAGGTAAGCAGGTCGAAAAATCTTTCTTTTTGATTTCTGAATAAAGGACATAATCCAATTCATATTACATCATCTTTGGATAACTTTTAAATCTGGTTACCTTATGTCAAACTAAAGCCACGCCACACCCATCATATTTCAGTGAGGCTAAGGCATAGCAAGAGGGATTACAGTGATAAAAGAAACAATGGTGAGTTTGAGTTACCTGTGTTTGACCTATCGACACTAAATAAGGCTACTGAAAACTTTTCAATAATGAGCAAGATCGGAGAGGGTGGATATGGACCTGTTTACAAGGTAAAACATGTATAAAGCTATCACTTTTATCTTCAATATGCCATACTTATTCTTAAATGAAACTTATAGCAGACAAGGAAAGTTATCACATAAATTATGGAGCGAATTGGGGATCTAATTAGCATGGATTATGGATCTATGTGTCTTAACATAAATTTAGGGATCATATTAGTCATTGATTGGTATTTAATTTATACTTTTGTGTCTCACCTTTATGCTTTTGTGTTTGAATCCCCAATGCAATGATGTGCACACATTACATGAAAAAAATAGATGGTAGATGCAATGATGAATACATTTTTTGTTATTTCTTTTCATAATATTCGATTTTTTTGGTATATTTTTTCAATAATGTCGAGTACAATGTCTAGTTCTAGATATTGTGCTTAATATTGTGGAGAAAGTTACCAAAAACAGGGAAAATAATGGAAAGAAAAAGAATTTTGTGCCTATCTCTCTATAAATTGTTGAATTAAAGATGATCATAGTGGAAAGAGAAAGGAGGATTTTGTTTAGAAAGAGCATAGCTATTAGGGAGAACACTGTTGCTGGGCAAGTTATCGTGATGATGGGTTTCCTTTTAATTTCCTTAAGAAATGTCTTTCCTACATTCTTCCAAAAGATTTTTATTATCAAGCCGTACATTCAAATACATAAATTCTCTAGGGCATTCTAGATAATGGACAGGAAATAGCTGTGAAGCGGCTCTCGGAAACTTCTACTCAAGGAGACGATGAGTTCAAGAATGAAGTATTGTTCATTGCTAAGCTCCAACATCGAAATCTCGTAAAAATTCTAGGATGCTGCATTGAAGGAGAGGAAAAGCTCTTGATCTATGAATTCATGCCAAATGGAAGTCTTGATGCATTTTTGTTTGGTGAGTCTTTTGTACAACTATTGCAAACATCATAATTGATTTAAGAGAAGCAAACATCAAAAGGTTCAGCGATTTAAGATAGAGCCTTGAATGGTGCACGGGATTATGAACTACACATCTATTGCCATTCATAAGTTGTATTATTACATGCAAATGTTGTGCAACTTTTTTGGCACAATGTAATAATATATGACATTTTTGCAGACGAAGAACAAAGCAGACATCTAGATTGGCCAAAGCGCTTCTGTATAATCAATGGGACTGCTCGCGGACTTACATACCTCCATCAAGATTCACGACTAAGAATCATTCATAGAGATCTAAAAGCTAGCAACATTTTATTGGACACAAACTTGGAACCAAAGATATCAGATTTTGGAATAGCAAGATCATTTGGAGGGAATGAGATAGAAGCCAAGACAAACAAAATAGTTGGAACCTAGTAAGAATTTTAAGACGATTTCACTATATTTAGTGTATGTTCGGCACAACTAGTTGAAAAGATATTTTTTGTGCTTTTAATAATTGTTCACTTCAGTAACTCAAAAGTTCTTAAAATAAAAAGGTTGTAGTTATTTGATAAAAATTGACCGTTTGATGTCATCCTCTTTTAAATATTTGAAATAGGCAAATAGCTTCCAAAATGTGTTTGCCAAACATACAATTAAGACTTTTAGAGATTTTTTTAAATACTAATAAAGCTACAAGATGATCATTTATGCCTACCAAACATGCACTTTATCTTCTGAATTTGTAAGTTTTAACATTCATGTACATTTTTCAACACAGTGGCTACATCTCACCAGAATATGCTGTACGGGGGCTCTACTCAGTGAAATCCGATGTATTCAGCTTTGGTGTATTGGTATTGGAGATTATAACAGGGAAGAGGAATACAAATTTTTGTCAACCCGAGAGTGATGACAACCTTCTTGGACATGTAAGTTTTACTCCCTGGTGTTATGTTTCTCGTCTTGGTTTACAATGTTTGGTGGGTGATAACCGATAAAGTTAACTTTCTAATGATAGTTAACATTACATTGCGGTGTAATAATTAAAGTTTACCTATTTCGAAATTACACAAAAAAACAGTAAAAGCTCTTTTGAACATAAAAAATATGCCAGTACGATAAACATTGGAGATATAAGATTATATAATAAAATCAGATACTAAAAGATAGTTTAGTTGGTTGCAGCAATGGTGAATGAGAACCTTATTATGAGATGGAGGATGGCTATCTTTGCTAATATTTTTACTTCACTAGCTAACAGAACTCTACTACTTTCTCCAGGCATGGAAGCTGCATAAAGAAGGTAGGTCAATGGAAATAGTAGAGCCACATCTAAGTGACACACCAACTCTTTCAACATCTGAAGTGCTTAGGTCAATTCATGTGGCTCTATTATGTGTTCAGCAGCGTCCTGAAGACAGGCCAAACATGTCTTCCGTCATCCTAATGTTGAATAATGAAGGTGTTTTGCCCCAACCTAAACAACCAGGTTTTTTCACAGAAGAAAACAACACTTGTTGTCGCAATCATTTAATATCAACAAATGAAATGACCATTACTAGTTTACAGCCACGCTAGCACACATCTGACTGTTTTTTTGCTGATACTTTTTGGTCTATTGTTGTCCCCAATCTTATGCTTTTAATGCTTTGATTTCTCAAATGTAAATACCTTTTCCGGGCAAAGTCCAAATGGATAAGCATTCTTAGCTTCATTGTGATATAAACAGAAAGTAGCTTACAGTTGCATGAGTGATGGGTCCATGTCAGTGTGCCACTAACTCACTATGCACTATGCAAGACCCAAGGATACAAAGTGCTCCTAAGTCATCACATATTGGTCAAATACAAAAATATGAATTCATATATAGAGCCCGTTTGGTAGCACCAAAATCGGCTGTTTTGGCTGATTCTGCTGAAATTTATGATATTCTGGCTGGAGTGGCTGTTTTGGCTGATTCTGCTGATTTAAGAAAAAAATATTTTAAAAATATATTTTATTAATAAATTAAAGAAAAAATTATATGTAAAAATAGCTAAAATGGTCCTCTACAGTAACTTCAGCCAATACAGCCAGAAAAGTAACTCCAACCTTACTTTTTCGGCTTATTACACAATTCAGCGCGCGAAAGTAAAAGTTACGTGTTTGGTGAAAAAGCTGGCTGATAAGCCTGATAAGCCGAAAACAGAGTTCTCCAAACGGACTCATAAACCTCAGCAATGAAAATATGAACTTCCAACTTTTTATGCTCAAATGAGCCACAATCATGTGATTGCGTGTTATGATGTCAATTCATCATCGTCATTACCCCAGTGCCGCAAGGGCTCCCACCTACGGTGAGGTAAGGGGGGTCGGATGTACACAGCCTTACCCATGTACTAAAAGTACAGAGAGATTGTTTCCGATGACCCATAGTGAAAATCACGTTAAAAATTGTATGGACTAATTGCTGCTTCATAACAAAGAAGCGCAGACAGTTTAGTGAGTCATTTTGCTTTATTCCATCATATTCCTAAGCCAAATAATAACGAGTCTTTGACTCCATTGCAAATGAAAAATGCAAATAAAAATAAAACTACGTAGAAGACTGGCTACTTCTTATAAACCTACGTACAATATATAATGTAACAATATTATATGATATTTTGGTAACCAATGTCAATACCTTGTATTGTATATGCACCATAGGCTCACAACACCTCGATCTTAAAACTTAATCATTAGGAGTTGAACCAAAGCAAAGCCATTATTGGATTCGAGACAATAATATCGGTCCACAAGTGAAAGAACGTATGTAGATATGATGTGCTATATGCGCATGTAATGAATCAAAATGAATAAAACAATTTTTCCCTAGAAATCAAAATCATCCTGATTAGGCTTTGGGGAAGTCAACAAAGCCGTATATAGCCTGAGCCTTTCTTCTCCGAGCGAGGAACACCTAGACAGTGGTCTCCTTGGCCTGATAAAGGAGAGAGAAGTGAGCGTTAAGCGATGTTTGTATCTCCGCCAGGCTAGTTGGATAGCAACTGCTCCCCAAGTCCTCCACCCAGGAGAATAGTACCTTGCGCTTCTCTTCACTTTCTCATTCACAAAGGTGTATCTGAAGTGTTGGGTTACATACTTAACGTCTTGGGCATCCAGCCCAAATGCCTCTGTGGCCTCTAGTGTCACCAGGGTGCACGATGACGGTGGAAGCCGCTCCACAAATGGCCGTCGGAGACACCATGATAGGAGCTCGTCACCGCTAAAGTTTCCCGGGCCTAACATGCAGCAACTTTTCACACCCTCTCGGAGTACTTGGCTGCTTTGAAGGTGACCTCTTACTATAAACAACATTCTCTGCACTGGGTCTCCCTCTCTTGTTATCTACAAATTAAAAAAAAAAAACAGAGACAGAAGTATATATGTTACATATTAGTGGTGCTTGGTTTCTTTGTCCAGATAATGGTAATTAGTGTTGCATTAACAAAAATTCACATAGTTGTGTTACAAACTTACAGTCTAGTTTATGATACCAACCTAGCCTATTTTTTAGTGAGTATAATTATTTGGTTGGCAGCTTTTAAATATTTAATATTCCTTGTTTGTTTTTGTATTTTTTTGGGTATAATTTACAAATTGTTTTCTGATTCAGCTTACTAGTGACTGACCACATTTCATTTTAGCGTGTAGCTGCTAGCTATGGCACATAGCAGTATTTTAGCAGTAACCATGATAAATATGCATTCATATTTGATCAATTGTTTTTTTTAATTATATTATTATAGGAAAAGGCCTAAGTTATTATTATAACGTTATGCCAACATCACTAATATTTTCCCAAAATGCATCATGGTCAAAATGGTAATACTTGAGGCTTCAAGCAAAGAACTGCGAATCGTCTTCAAAATATTCGTAGATGTGATCTAGCAAATTAAATTTGCAAAAATGATGCTGTAAGAAACTTACAGTTTCTCCCTTTGTAAATATAAGAGATTTCACCCTGTCACAGATGTTCTCAAGAACCAAATTATCCATATGCTGAAATAGAGGTACCTGAAACATAGGTTCGAGATTACATATTTCCTAAACTGTTCTGTAGAAGAAACTTTTTCTCACTCATGCAAAAGAGATTTTTTTAAGCCAATGGAACTAATTTTCAGAAATAATGACAAACATATTATTAAAATAAAAGTTATGGACAAAATTTTGACTTCCTTAATATGATTGTGATAGCGATTTGGTTATAATTTTTGTGATTATCATTTTAGTACTGCCTATGGGTAATATTTTGGAGAAATCTCTTAATTTTGACTAGTCCAATTTATGTTCATTGAGTTTTGATACTCCTTTTTTTAGCACCATCCAGTTTTTCTAAGCACTCTCCTGTTTGGACATAGTCCTATTGTTCAGGTACAGTCCTGTTTTGGACACTTATGGTGACATTGTACAGCTACATACGCAGTATTATACTACATATTTTTCAGACCATTTTTTTTCACTTTGTGAAGAGAATTGTGTGACACACCAACAATTCTCTTCACATAACGAAAAAATTGTTCGTACACAAACAATTACTCGGCGTGTAAAATGACGTGTACAAAGTGGCGTGTACACTAAGCATAGTTGTAAATATTACGAGTACTACTCATGAGTGTAACTTCGTACCTGTCTAACCAAGTCTAAACATAGGTGATATTTAATGTCTCTTCGAAGACCTTCTGGAAGATTTTGGATCATTTCACATTCATCTACTCCGCGCATTGCTGCCCAACGTTGCCGCTCATAATTTCTTACCCTATGCCTAAATTCAAGCGGCAACCGCCTCCTCCTCATCCACCACTCTACGTTTCTCATCTTCAGTTGCATTGCCTGTTTCTTTGACGTCGTTGCGTGCAAAAATACCTGTTCATACTCACAAAAATCATATTCATTAACTATTAAGTATTAATGTACTTGCTTTAAAAAACGTAGCACATGGTGCAGTAGTTCCTCCATCCCAAATTGATATGCATTTTGTGGGTTTTCGAATATCGGAGAGATTAAATATAAAGAAAGTACTAGGTTGCTAACTATAGTTTTAGGATATCGGAGAGACATGCAATTTGTTTATGTGGAGTATGTTACATTACTTCTTTTATAGTATGAATTTATATCGTGTATTTCATATTTGCTTAGTGGAGGATATTAGTACTATAGAATATAGATGTTTAAATAATTCTTCGTATCGTCCTATATATCTTATATAAGCACATTCATGCATGCATTTTTTTTTCTTAAAAAAAAAACATCATATTAAAATTGAAATATATTTATATATAAGCATTCAAAAGATTAAGCAAATGAAACTAAGAGCCTAGTGCTAGTGAAGAAAGAACATTAAATGAACTAATACCTCGCAAAAAATAACTAATGAACTAATAAAAATAGAGAAAGAAAATAAAAATGCATGAGTAAAGGGTAGTCCAAATGATGTATATGCACTTATACATATATCCAGTGGCTTCTCCAGAATTTTTACTTAGTGAGGCGAAGTTGCATAAAATTCTAACATTAAAAATACTTATCAAAACATAAATAATACAGTATCATTGATTCGATATTTCGATATTTTTTAGAAAAATATTAAAAATTAACCTAAAATATTTAACACAATCTATTTGAAAATAATCCTCTATGTTCCACACACACATATATAGACACACACACACATATTGCATCATCAAACAATTTGTATTTCTAATAAATTTGAATTTGTATTTGTATTTCTAAATTTAATTTGGAACACAGTCGTATACCTTTCAGGCCATGGCGAAGATTTTTTTTCAAAGAAAATGCCGAAACAACATGAGGCATTTAGCGTCTCGTTAAAAAAACAACAATAAGGGACAGCTGCCCTTATTGCCTTCATAGTAGATATGTCACTAATATATGTATATATATATATATATATATATATATATATATATATGTATGTATGTATGTATTGTATAAAAAAAATATTCTATTACAAGAAATGTATACAAATAGAAATAAAACTTAAGTTACCTTGATGTTGCCAATCAACATGGTGACAAGAAGTAGCCCACTAGTTAGCACGATAATAATGAAAACCACTTCAAGCCAATCTGTTGTGCTCTCCAAATTACCGAAAGTACTGTTTCACAAATGTTCAAACATATATACAATTAGACATTATTACATTAAAGCTAGTTCAGTTCTACATAGCCTGTGTTTCAAAACTTCACACTTGGTTTCATGTCACATACGTTATTTTTATCAAAAAGAAATAAACTTGTCAAATAAAGCTAGGTTCTTAGATAAAAGGCCAATAAATTATAGTAACCATGTAATCGTACATTCGCCATGTATAATACTTCCTCTATTCATTATGTTTCTCTTTTTCTATTTTGATTTGTTAGAAAATAAGTATCCTAAAGTTAATGAATATTCCAGCCTACCATCATCCCAGCCTCCAAGATTGACAGGAATGGAGGAAGTAAAGTTGAAAAGGCCTCATTGATGGAGATGTATTAGTTGGGTTGTGTGCAGTTGATAGGTTATAAGTCTCGTCTTCAACCCATTGTAGCTTTATCAACCATTGAATCTAAATATGTTAGCAACATATTCAGATTCGGTGCTTGGGTTAGCTTTAAGTCTCGTCTTCAACCCATTGTAGCTTTATCAACCATTGAATTTAAATATGTTGTTGCCACTGAAGCTTTTAAGGAATCCATTTTGATTTAACAACTTATTTCTGAGATTGAATTTCTCAAATAGGATATTACTGTGTTTTCTAATATTCAATCGGTTATTCAACTCAGCAAAAATCATGTATTTCATGATAGAACCAAACAATTGGTGTTAGTTTCCACTTTATTCGTGATATTGTTGATGCATGCCAGTATATATGGGTATCAAGTGCCTAGCTATCTGCTGTGAAGCTACACTGTCCTGCAAGAGGACCCTGCATTTTGATATCGGTTGACTCTGGTTATTTTTGCACATATCGGTTGCTTTGTGCTAACACCTATCCATTTTTCCCGTGGACTAGGTGTCCCTATCCCTATGTTTCTTCCTTACATTCATTTTTTTGCTTATAACTTCCTTCGTGCTCGTTGAAGTTGATTTTATTACCTTTTTGTGATCTCGGTACTCAGGAAGAATGCTTAGTGCAGGCCTCCATTTTTGTTCTCCTGTTGTTTTTTCTAAGTGGTTTTACAGGTGAATGAGCAGTGGTGATTTCTCACGTTTCAATACCGCTACTTTGCACCACCTCATAGGGCCAATAAAGTGGGTAATGTTGGCGATATTGTCCCCTTGCGCCTATTGTAGCCCATTCTTTTTCCTTGTTGGATCTGTCCGCTTATTTCGGTTGTTGGTCTCCTTTGTGGTCTGACCAGCCCCTTAGGGCTTTGCCCCTTTGTTGGTTTGTGTTGCCCAAAATACTTATACAATCCTTCTCCTTTGTCCTTGGGTATGCCGTTGAATGAGTGCTACAGAGAGAGAGAGAGAGAACACGGCAGAGAGACTAGAGAGTTTCCATGTGTGTGAGACCTCTTGTTACCTCGTCCCTTTTTCTCCTTTCCTCTGGTGCATGTGTTGAGAAGGCACTGGCAGTGGTACCGACTATGTGGTGGAGCCCTCTGAGTTGTATGGCCCGAGGTGAGGTGTGAAGGTGGAGCTTGTTTTCTTGGAGGAACGTGAAGAAAGCGGGGCTGGAAACGTCCTCTTTACATGAACGGATCCACATTTAAAGGACAGTTCTAAAAAAGTAGGGGTGGGCTAAACCGAACAACGGGGTTTCAAACGGATCTCGAAATTTTTGTTCCGAACTGGACCGTACCGGTTCCAAACCATGCCATGACCGGTTCTCATAAAATGAGAACCGGTACCGGACCGTGTTGGCGTATAAACTACAATATAAATATATCGGGCTACTCCTTGTATAAGATTATCCTTTTAGATGAACACCTAGTCTTACCAAATTTCGGGCTCTAAAGTATCACTATTAGATTGGAAATGATCTAATTGAGAAAAGGGTACATACCTGAGAGTCATGAGTCCCCAGAAGATAGGAAAAAGAATCTTTTCCAAACGGTTTTCATTTGTAACAAGTTGGACAGTCCATTTGTAGGCACCATAAACAGAACTGTCTCCACTAAGGCAAGTTGTTCTTGCTTGGGCGTTTTCCCCCCACATCAGACGGCCTCTGTCCTTCACCAAGTTTGTAGTTCCATAATATATTGGCTGCTCACAAGCCAGCATTTTAACACTGCATCCATTTGTCATTCTGCAATGTTCTTTAAAGCATCTAGCAGCCCTTTGGATACCCAGCAAGTACCAACATGCACCTACGGCCTGAAACCCAGCCACATTACCCAAAATAATTTAAATTAGATCATCCAATGCAATATATATTATGTCATATACTATCGTGTATAGTCAAGTACGTAGTATAATACTACGTATATGTTAGCTCATAGTCACTCTTTTCATCTTGCATTCTTGCAGACCAGTTAGCTTGTTGGGGTGTAGCCAGAATTGTTAGTTTTATCCTATGGAGATACGTTTGAATATAAATTATGTGTAAACAGATAAGCACATCGAAATCGAACATGAACATTTTAAAATCGAACATATTTTATCATTCGGAATTGCCAGAATGGTTTCTTTTGTACCAGGATTTTTATCAAGTTGCTAGTTTTATAAATTTGTGTATTAAGTTGGCAAGATTATATTTCTATAATGAAATATCATGTAATAGTAGTTATATCATCTACGCAGTTAGGATTGTACTTTTATAGAGCAAAGAGGCTAAAACAACCTTTCATAGGCTTAAACTAAAAAAAATCTATATCTGCCCAACCAAACTAACCTTGTGCTTATACCACTGATCTTGATAAGCATTTTGAAATGGGAAAAGGGTCAGATAGGCCCTCGAACTTACATAAAAAGGTCAAATTCTTATATAGGAGGCCCTGTCTGGCCGTCGCCATTTGGGGCGGTTCCCTGTGGAATTTTTTGATGAAATTTTTTGAGCATCTTATTCATTAAATATAGTTTAATCATACCAGATTTCAGCTAAAACTTCAATCGGGAAGACATTCAAATGAATTCTTGAAGATAACTGTGTAGTTAAAAACACAATTATCTTCAAGAATTCATTTGAATGCCTTCCCGATTGAATTATAAAAGTGACATGAAAATTTGACAGTGACAATTCTTAGAAACATAAAAAATTGCAATGACACAAAAATCTTACAGTGACATCATTTTCTCTAAATATATGATCTTGTTAATCACATTTTTGTCAAAATTTAAAAGTTGTCACATTTTTTAGAATTTTACTTCAATTTGGTGCAACGTAGTATTTAGGGAAAAATTAAACTCAATTTAAAATTTGCGGATAGAAGGTCAAACCAGTAAAAAAAACTTGTTGCCAAACGGCCATCTTGAAATAAACTTATGTAAAAATTCTATAAATAGAAAGTATGTAAAACAATAATGATGTCGACAACACCAAGAGCCAAATTGTGTCCGTTCGCCAAGAAGGAGTGGGGACTTGGGATATTTTTACTTGGATTGAAATTTGTTGGTTGGTTTAATCAGTTTAAGTCGGGTTTGGTCTAACTGTTCTGGTCTGGTATGATGTGGTGATGTCTAGTCTGTGTGTGTTTTGAGTATAACTACGAAAGTCGGGTCTAGTCTGTTTAAGTATGGTCTGTTCTTGTCTGGTTTGTTTAAGTCTAGTCAGGTTTGGTCTGGGATTGAAAATAGTCCAAGTAAAAACATCCTTGTTTCGGGAATTACTCCCTTCCTCCCACTAGCAATGGTACAAGGAGTGACACGCATACCGATAAAAGTGAGATTACATGATTGATATTGAATTGATAAAGTAAAATTAAAGTAAGAATGATTTAGAACCACGAAATTTTTACTAAATTTGCTATGAGACAATCTTAGTGGAATGGATTAAAAGGAAAAATGGGATAATCTTAGCGGGGTGGGGAGAGTAATATTTAATTATTACTCCGTACTTTGTATTAATTAAATGGAAAAGGAATGCATATCAGTTATTTTAGGAATTTTATCAATTTGAGACATAAATAAAATAAATGATATTACATTCAGCACAATTTAATTTTAATTATTGCATCAACTTAAATGTTTTGTGTATTTTATAAATTATGTATAACACCATAAATTACCTTTGTGGAAAAAAATATACTCATAGTGGTAGAACTTTTTATATAAAGTTTGAATTATAGTTCCGAAAAGGTTGGCCAAAGTTGACTTTCACGTGGATTAATAAAGTAAAAAACCGTGTGGTTGAAATTTGTGTAGAGGAGAGATAATTAACTTTAGCCGCATATTCTTTACTTTAAATGGAAATGACAAATCTTTTTGGGACATCCAAAAAGGGAAATTTGGCCAACCTTTTCGGGACGGAGCGAGTATATCCCTTAAAAACTTTGCTAACTTTTCTTTTTTGGATGTCCCATTAACTTTGCAACTTTCTCTTTTAGATAAAAAATTTATGGTTTCAGTTAATTCTCTCTCTTGTACACAAACTTCAACCACAAAGTTTTTACTTTATTAAATTAAGTAAAGAATTTTGAAGTACAGAGAGAGGAGTACATGAACAAGTTTGGAATTTTCATGTCACGCCCTTTGAAAATTTGGGATATTTAAATTAAGTTTCCTTTTTAAATTCACGAACATGAATTTTGGATGTTGCATTTGATTAAAATGTGACATGGTACCAAACAAGTCCAGTCCACGAACTCAGCTAACTTTTAAGTAGCTACCAGTCAAGTGAGATGACGGAATGGGAATCATTAAAGCCTGAGCAAGTACTGGGGTGGGGTAGGCGTTAGTTTTTACGTACGTGGGAGGCCACGAAATATGCGATCATGTTGAGAGCGATTCCCCACCAGACAGTGCCAAAAATGTAGCCGGAGAAGTTTTGGGTCCGCCGCAGGTGGCGGACGGAGTGGTAGATCTTGGGGAGGTACTGCAACAGAAACATTATCAACAACGTTGTCATCACCTCAGCTGTCAACCCTTTCTTCAACAATGCTGGGATTGCCACCCAAAGCACTATCTGCACATGCATTTCCTTAACAATTAATAACCCCTTTATGTCTATTCCAATGTCCCTTCCCCTCATTCTAGCTAGGACTAGAAATGCATATGTGAAATTGAGGATGTTTTCGTTAGCACATTCTCCTTTCTAATAAAATTAAATCACACACTCTCTCTTATTCTTTAGTTAGTTATACTAAAATGTTCTTTATTACAAAATGCTACTGCAAAAGTATAAACTTCCAACCGCTACCAATTGAGAATGTGTTTTAGTGACATCACCATCACACTCCCAATGAGTAGATCACATATTCAATATTCATCTCAGTAAAAGATGTTAACATTTAATAGAATATATAATATAATATGCGAGAAAACACATAAAAAGAGATTGAGACTCCTTTCGACCCCTCCATGTCTCCAACATTGTCTCGAATAAGAACATTGTTCTCCATATGAAACCCTCTTCTTACCGGTTGAGTAATACCCTATCATAAAAATTCTTCTTCTACACACTTTTACACACGTACGCGAATGTTTTTTTGTCGGTCACAAATACTTTGTTTATCAAAGACGTGTATAAAAGTTTTATAAAAAATGGTGTGTAAAAACTAATTTTCCTACCCCACAATGCCGTAGCATTATTATTCTTATGTACGTACGGAATACATCAAATCAAAACACGGGAGTGCATACATAAATACATTACCGTTGTGCACGTAAATACGTGCACGTTCTAGCTGGCTCCTTAAATCAGACAAAGTACGGGTAGGTTCCGTCTCTCAATTGACCCGATTTCGAAATTTGGACAAGAGTCATTAATGTGTCATTCGGAATATACCGCAAAGATACTTCCATATCTAATGACTTTTCTCATCAACCAGTCAATCCCTTCACTAATTTCCTAATTTACGATGTGAGTTCAAAGTGTATAAACTTTAATTGTTAGGTAGTTCAAAGTTATACTCGTAGTATATGCTATAGCATAAGATACTTCGAAATACGAAGTACTCGTATATATTATTGATCAGTTTTGTTAAAATATTTATAAACATATATAGTTTTGAATAATCATGCTCAAACATCAATTAAGGGAGCAGAATTAGAATCACTAGAAAACTGATTTTAGGGTAAATTAGAGCACCAGAATCACTTCTGCACTTTCACCCAAACACTCCAACTTCCACTTCTGCTCCCTTAGGGAGCAGAAACAGTTTTAAGAATCAGGTCTAAACACCCCTAAGTTTGACACCCTATCAAAGTTCGAACTAGAAAATTGATCTTAGGATTTTTTTTTTTACAAAATATATATGGAAATAAAGTGACAAACAAAATAAAAATAGATACAAGTAGAGATAAGAGTAATTAATTATCACGTATTCACGGCAAAAGTTATTGTATCTATATATATATCTATCGTACTCCGTATGTAATTACGTAGTATTGGGATGCTTTTTTTGGACTGAAATTTGCTGGTCTGGTCTGTTTAAGTTTGGTCTGGTCTGTTCTGGTCTGGTGTGAACTGGTTAGGTCTGGTCTGGTAAACGTCTGGTCTTTGTGTATTTTATAACTACGGAAGTCTGGTCTGGTCTGATCTGTTTAAGTCTGGTCTGGTCTGTTTAAGTCTGGTCTGGTCTGGGACTGAAAACAGTCCAAAAGAAAACATCCTTGTTCATATGACTCACGGATTAACGCCTTAACGGATGAATACTAAAACTTTAGATTTATTTCAAAATTTCAATTATATTTTAGAAAAAAACTCATTTACCAACTCTTTTGTTACCAATACAAACTTCAATTAAATTATTTTGTTCCCTACTCGTTATTGAGGGAAAATATACCCTTTAAAATCACATTTTATTGATTATGCTTACCATACTAATGTACTCGTCGTTACTCCTATAGCCATGTTTGGTAATTATAGAAATGCATGAATTACCTAAATGTATTGAATAGTTCAAAATTTAGGGTTAAAACGTCTGAATATATATTCAAATATGTAAAAATTATATTAAAAAATATACTGCACTTCGTTTTTACACAAAATTTTAAAAAAGGGAAAATGTTAAAATCAACCAAATTCATTCTAAATGCTAAACAGCCTACACTCAATTGAAAAGTTACTTCAAGTTTACTTAATTCAATTATTAATTTTTACATAATTGAAATAAAAATTAACAAAATTTGATTAACTCTACAAAAAAATAATGAGATTGGCATGAATTTGACACAGATTATGAGATTGGCATGAATTAACAAATGTTTTTTGCACGAATTTAGCATATTTCTGCCCATTTTGAGAAATCTCTTCCAAAAATCTTAAATTCCGTGTTATATACTGTTCTTAAATAAATGCAACACTTTGACTTTTACACTATTCACATGTTCTACTTTGACTACGTTTTATTTATCAATGTAATAATATTATTTTATGAAAAAAAATTTGTTAAACTTGTCTCATTATAAATTTTCATAATCTAATTTTTTTAATTTTTTAACTAATACAAAATCATTTATATTAATGGTCAAAGTTGTGTTTCGGCAAGTGTGAAATGTTGACCGTTGAATTTATTTAAGAGCAAGTATAATGAATTGGTGGGAAATATGGATCAGAAAAGTGACCCTACCTAATTTATCCCTACACATTATAGAGACCATTTGGTGACAAAGATTATAGAGAGCAATTTAGTACGTCAAAATGGTCAACATTTACCTGAGGCAAGGGGAGGACGACAAAAAGATCAAAAATGAGGCTCTTATTTGCCCTGACCACTCCTACTGCCGCCGTCACGTGGTTCCTGTCTGCTGAATGCTCCCTCCCGGCAGCACGGCGCCGCCCGTGAGCCTTGAACTTCAGCCACGTGTTCCACAGGTGCAACGTGTCCGTCATGCACCGGAGCACCGTCACCGTGGCGGCGAACCACCCGTCCACGAACAGGCACATGCAGTTGTCGCTGATGGACAGCGTGTAGAAGAACAGAGGGTCCACGAACAGCCCGGTGGCGCACGCCAGCAGGAACACCCGGTTCCATTCCTGAACCCACCCTTTTGCGGTGGCTCCACCGCGGCCGCGGCGGTCCAACACCTTACCCAAAAATGACCCACCGCTGTAAATGCTATTGCACTTCAATAACTTTCTGTCCTCTTCCTCGTCTTCTTCTTCATCTTCTTCCTCCTCTTCTTCCTCCTCCTCGGTGTCTGAGTAGGTGTATCTGGAAACATCAAACTCACTCTCCATTTTTATGAGCACTTAGTTTTTCTTTTTTTTGCTTGTGAGTATATACAATTTGACTACTCAAAAAAATGTTTTTTTCGGGATAAAGGATGGTTGTGTTTTTTTTGGCAGAGTGAGGAAATATGGTTAATAAGCAAACAAACAAAAGGGACGAAATTGCTTCGAAACTGTGTCTATAAAACGTATTCGGGAATGAGACCATAATTTTGTGGGTCATCCATGGATCAGTCTGACATCTACTACCAAAAAAATCAAATGATCAATCATATGACCGAACCTACACACACGTTAGCAGGAGCTTAGTTAGTTAATCAAAATATCGATGGACATAATAATTGTCCCTATCCTGTTTAAAATTCGGAGTACATCATTGTCTGTGTTTATCTCCATTAAATGTATCTGGTCTGTGATAATAGTGTACTCGTATTAAAACAAAGTTAAGGAAAATGAGACTTTTGGCCATTAAAGGACGGTTTGCTTAAAAAAAAAGCACTTCAGTAAAATAAGTGTTTTTTGTGTAATAGAAAAGGTAAAAAACATTTTTCGCACAAAAATTGAGAAACTTTTTTTAAGTAGAAGTTGTCATTTGAAACATTAATTTTAATTTTTTAAACCAAGAAGCGTTTTTTTAAGCTATTTCAAACACCCCTAAAGCGTCTATACATAATGATATGTATGCAAAAAAAAATCATTTTTCAATTACCAATGAGATATATGAAATCATCTGGAAATTTGAATTTTATACCTAGTACCACAAAACTTTATTGAATTTCTCTTTTGGTCAATCTAAAAGAATTATTATTTCCATTTAATTTAAAGTAATAAATATATATATCTGCAAGTTATTTCTCTCATTTGCACAAAAATCATACAATAACATTTTATTCTATTATTTTACGTGTAAATGAGCTTTGAATTTGATCCAATTTTAGGGAATGGAGTAACTATGTATACATGTTTCATTGTCATATTGTTTTTATCTTTTTTATTTTGGCATTCGTTGTAAAATTTAGCAAACGTTCATAAACTAAAAAAATAAAAGGATAAAATTAAATAATACGTACTTCGTAGTATTTATTTATAGGAAGTACATAATACAACTTGAATTCTAGATTTGTCACCGTTGTGAAATAAACTACGAAGTAGGAACGAATTTGTTCATTAATAGCGTGACGTGGTAAGGTAAGACTCATTGTGAACAAAAAAAAATGATACTAGAGACAACATTATAAGGTTTTGGGACTAAGGAGCTGAGTGTTCTTAGCAAATTACTGCTAGTGTTGAATTAATAATTAGGGGAATGCATGCTACGTAGTACGTTACAATAATTATGGTATTATATCGTTGAAGTTGTTTATCACAAGTTAAACTAAGTAAATATGATTTGAACACTTGAAAACCACAAATCAATTGGATAATGTACAAGGATCAAAGAAAAAAATAAAGAATCAAAGAAATTGTGATCAAATATAAAATAGAAATTTTGATGTATTTCAAAGTGGTAATGGATAGTAATTATGAGCAGTGTGTTGTACATCAGTGTGGACGTGTGGTCCGTGGCTCTTTAAATACGGAGTAACTAACTAACTAAGCTAGGCCGATTTGTCCGGTAATGGATAGTAATTATATCGTATACCATTAACTTCTATATACACAGGATCAATTTTCATAAAAGTATAATCAAATCTTCAAACATTTGATCCACCATATATTGTACCTAGAATGTACTCGGTTCTAATTGGTGAGAAAGAATGAAAGAGCAAGAGTTCCGAATCAGAGCATTATTGGGAAAAGGTGCAAATAGGCACATGTACTAACCAAAAAAGGGGTCAAATAAGTCCTTATTTAGGAGGCTCTGTCCGGTCGTCTTCATTTGGGATGGTTCCCGGTGGAATTTTTTGAGCATCTTATTCATCAAGTCTAGTTTACTCATACCAAATTTCAGCTAAAACTTCATTTGAGAAGACATTCAAATGAATTCTTCAAATTAACTGCGCAGTTAGAAGCACAGTTATCTTCAAGAATTCATTTGAATGCTTTCCCGATTGAAGTTTAGCTGAAATTTGGTATGAGTTAACTAGACTTTGAATAAGATGCTCAAAAAATTTCATCAAAAAATTCCACCGGGAACCATCCCAAATGATGACACCCAGACAGAGTCTCTTAAATAAGGGCTTATTTGACCTTTTTTTGTTAGTACATAGGCCTATTTGCACCTTTTCCCGTCGGGGGACTATGCAACAAATAATTATTTTGTAGACATGTTATGAAGGATCATACAGTAGAGGTGCAATCTGTTACTGTTCATGCAACAAATAATTATTTTGTGACTGTTTCTCTTGACAACACTTGGTGCTTTTATGAGCTTGCTTCAGGTGTATGCCTTGCTCAGATTGGAGATCCCTCAGAAGGTGATGGCTATACGTCTGCAGCCTTTCATCCTGGTGGCCTGATTATTGGAACTGGCACAACAGGGTCTACTGTAAGATATGGGATGTAAAGAGTCAGGGAGTAGTTGCACAATTTGATGGCCATGTTAGAGCTGTTAATGCTCTTTCTTTCTCTGTAAACGGTTATTTCTTGGCAACTGCAGCTAGAGACGGAGTTAAGCTCTGGGATTTACGCAAATTGAGGAATTTCGGGAACTTCTCTCCTTATGATGAAAATACACCAACCCAAACAGTGGAGTTCGACCACAGTCCACAGTGGAAGTTACCTTGCATCAGGAGGCTCAGATATAAGGGTGTATCAAACTGCATAGCTAGTGTGAAGTCAAAATGGAATGGCATTAAAACGCTCCCGGACCTGTCAGGAACTGGTAAAGCCACATGTCTAAAATTTGGTCCTGATGCGAAATACATAGCTGTTGGATCAATGGATAGAAACCTCAGAATATTTGGTCTGCCCAGTGTGGAAGGTACAAAGGAAGATGATTAACTCTTATTCTCATGATTCTGCCTTCCAGTTTCATTAGCTTTGTATGACAACATTTCCACCCTGCTTTGTTTTGGTTAAGCAATTGAAATATAAGATTGGTACTAAATAGAATTCTAAGATTCTGATAAATAGTGATAGAAGTAAATCTTACGAAGTACTATGATATTTCTGCAAAAAAAATAAAAATAAAGAGAGAGCATAATAGCAAGTCATGATTAAGGGCAAAGCTGAACAGATATATTTTCTAGTTTTCTTTTATATTTTCTCTTCTCCAATTTTCTATTTTCATTTTCCAATTTTCCTATCTCCATTTTTTTGTTTTCATTTTCTAGTTTCCCATTTTCAAATCTAAAAATATGTTCATCAAATTTTTTCACCCAGTCGTGGGACCGACCAGAAGATCGAAAGTACAGTCTCGGTCCGGAACCAAACCTAGTACAGCCCAAATAGGGTCCTGAGTATAGGAAAGTCGGGATCAAACCCGATCGATCTCGGTTGATTCCAACGGGCAACGGCTAGTTTGATTATTTTTTCCCTTTTTCTTATTGATTGGCAACTTAACGACTTTTTTAAACATTTTTTACCTTTTTTTACTCCGGAGGGGGGGGGGGGGGGTCTGGGGGAGGGGCTGGGGGCCGGGAGTAATAAGGGCTGAAACTCACTCCATTGAGTTTCGATCTTAAGGCCTCCCGTAAGGGAGAGTGAGTCAGCGACCAGTTGGGCTGGACTGCTTCTTCTTTAAACATTTTTTACTTTAAAAATGATTTTAAATTAGGGACCGAATCGCCAGATCATCGACCAGTTCAGACAGGAGCTTCCGGGTTGTTGACGAAACCTGCCCGGGACCGCCCATTTGACGATCGGACCGAACATAGACCACTGGGTCGTTGACCAAACAGGACGGGGACCGCCGGGTTGTTTAGTCGGACCGGACAGGGACCGCTGGTGGCCGGATCAGATACAGATCGCTGAGACATTGATCAGACTGGATCAAACCGGGATAGCCCGACCGTCATCCGGACTGAACAGGTACCGCTTGGTCGTTGATCAAACTAGACAAGGACCGCTGGATTGTCGACCAGACCAAACAGGTACTGTCGGGTCATTGACAGGACTGGAAAGGGATTGCCAGGTCATTGACCTGATCGGACAGGGGCTGTTGGGTCATTGACCGAACTAAACCACTATTAGGAGTTTATATCTGGTTTCTTGTATTAGCTACTAATTCTATTAAGATCAGTTAGTTAGGTACACACACAACTACTACATATAATTTGTACTGAGACCTTGATCTAATAAGATTTTCAAATGTTCAGTCTGCTATCATTCTAATATGGTATCCAGAGCTTGAATTTTTTTCCCGATCATGGCGCTTTTGTCGTCTTCCATAATATCCACCGAAAATAACACTTTTCCGGTGACCTCACATCCTCTTTCTCTAAAACTTGACTCCAACAACTTCTTGTTCTGGAAACATTACGTTGAATCCGGTATTCGAGCACACAAATTACTTTGATTTTTCATCAATCCGGAGATTCCACCTCTTTTATTGAACAATGAAGATGAAGCAAACGGAACTGTTAATGACGCCTTTGTTTCATGGGAGCAACATGATCAGATGTTACTTTTCATGGCTTCAATCTTCACTGTCTAAGAATCTACATGCTCGTGTGATTCACTATACTCGCTTGTTTCAGCTATGGGATGAACTTCACAATTTTTTTCAATCGAACATCATTGTGAGGGCAAAGCAATTGAAATCTGAGCTTTATTCAATTGTTAAAGGCGAGGGGTCTATACCCGAGTATCTTCACAGGATTCGAATAATTTGTGACAATCTTCTGTCCATTGGCGAGCCAATTTCGGATAAGAATCATATAGATGTCATTCTCGGAGGATTGCCTGAAGAACTTGAGTCACTCGTCTTATCTATATCTTCTCAGAGTGCTCTCAAGCCACCTACAATATCCGAGGTAGAATCCTCACTTCTGGCTAAAGAAATACGAAATCGCAAGTTTCGTGATTCCTCGCAATCAACTTTACTCTTAGCAAATGACGCTCGTCTAGAAGATCTCTCGCTGAATACATCTTCATCACAAAACTCACATGAATACTCTGCTCAAATTGCTCAATTCAATACTCCATTTCGAGGTGGTAATCAATTCAGAGGAAGAGGTCGTAACACTGGTCCCAGAGGA